GGCAGAATGAGTTTTTAATCAGCAGTGAATGTACAAAAAATAGGTGCACAAAACGCTGAGAACTTTCCGAACCTAATATTACTCAAAATGCATCGAGCTGAAGTGGCTATCTAATAATGCTAGCATGCTCGCACGCAATGCCGTGCTTCGGATGTCCTGACCTACACTCACTGCTGCCCGTCGCCTCACTTCGAGATGCAGAGGTCATCCCAACAGGAGCCTGACAGGGGTGAATTACGGTAGGATAACAAGGTCGGTCGGGTTGGTAAAAGGTCTGCTTGACTTTTCGTGATTCGAGGGTGGAGGTTAAACGTGATAGAAAACGGTTAGGCAAAAGTGTGCCAGGCACATTAACATTTTAGGAATGCCACTATTCAATTGACCCATTTAACTTCTTTTGCTGACCCGGATAAGCTACTTGAGCAATAGGCATAGAACACAACCTCAAGTGTACTCCTCCTCGTTATCATTGTGAATGGAGCTGGTTTATCAGTAGCGTATGGTAGGAAAACTGCATTTGCCTGAAACCATGGAATGATGAGTCGAAGATGTATAGTCTGGATCGCTGCGGATAATGTGGCGGGTGCGTCTGGCGCGGCGAAAACCCGTCCTTTTCCTTTTTTTTTCGTTCAGCAGGCAGCAGGTTGGTGTCATATCGTTTTGCACCAGCTGTTGTCACATATCCACTTGAACAATTTGAGAGTGGATCTGGCGGCGGGCCGAACGCAGCCGCACGGACACGCCCTATCATCCGCAGCGAACCAGAATAATAAAGGAGATTCTCCAATTACCAAGATGAGCAGGACGCCGTTGATCCAGTACACATATCTCCATTGATCGTGCCGAGTTTCATCATGAACTAGCAAAGCGACCATGGCTGGGGCTACGAACAGTGCCACACATTTCATAAACTGAATAGTAGCCAACACAAAGTGAGCATACTGCCTGAAATAACGGTATCATCAGAAAGGGAAATCAAGCAAAATTTCAGTGATGATGACAAGTAAATTGAAAGTGGACTGAAATTTGATAGTAGTTTCCCGCAGTTGTATGATTCCCGGAATCAGTCTCGAAATCATTTGAATTTCACTGACCGTGTAGATAACGTTGCACATTTGTAGAATCCTCCAGGATTCAGTCCTGTACAGAGAACGTAAGCTGTGAATAAACCTGCTCCTGTTTTTGGCCACTTTTCATCAAAGGCACCGATTAACAAGCAGAATACACCGGCGAAACCGACTGCTAACGTATTGAAAATCCTCATCTTGTTGGTTTCAGAAATACATCTAGAATCAGAACTGTCAGCGATGTGAATGTGGTTGATAGCGTTTTCATACAATTTTGTATGAAGTGGTTCGGTAATGCTTCTCATACGGTGTGATAGAGAAACGCTCTATCAAGTGGCGCGCTTAGTTGTTTATAGCCCTTCAAAGTCAAATCACGCGCTCAACTAATTAGGCTGCCTTCATACTTTGCGGCAGCGTCCACCAGCGTCTACCAGCGTCCACCAGCGACCACTAGCGTTCCGAGCGTCCGGCAGCGTCAGCGACTAGGAAAGTATAGATATCGATCTAGCTCTGCCAGCGTCTGTCAGCGTCTACCAGCGTTCACCAGCGACCGCAGCGAGCGGGATCAGAGAGTATGGAGTGGTAAGAGGGAAGCAAACAGATGGATTAGGCTCGTGAAATTGCGGCGTTTGTAACTGCATAGTACAACTACACTAAACCCTACATTTAATTGGATAATTCTGAGCTTTAGCAGTTGTGCGGTGCGGTTGCACACGCCGCAAATTCGTGACGCCTAATCCAACCGCTTGCTAACCTCTTGCTTCCCCATACGCTCTACACCCGGTCGCTGATGATTGCATGTGGATGCTGACAGATGCTGCCAGACGCTGGCAAGGCGCTAGATCTTTATCTATGCTTCAATAGCCGCTGACGCCATCGGATGCTCGGAACGCTAGTGGTCGTGGTAGACACTGCCGCAAGGTATGAATGCAGCCTTAGCAATATTCGTTTTCCGTTGAAGTAGTCCATTCTGCAGCCTCTGAAGTGCCTCACTTGCGCGAGTCCCCAATGAATGGAAAGGGCGCTGCATTCGCAAGTTGAAGTTACGTCATCTACAGAAGCTAAATCGCATACTTTGGGGACCGTAACACCAAGCAGTACACAGCACATAGCACGGCATGCTCAGTAATGTCCTCTGGATTAGCGACTCCGCCAGCGGCTTGATTTTTTTTCTCTAAAAAGGTAATCGAAGCAGGGATCACCCAAAAATTGCTTCCAATTCCAAGCTGACAGGTTTTGTCATGATGGCTTGAGCATGCTCCAGCTTCACGATAGTTCACAAGTTTCACCAGAGTGAGACTTGTAAACCGGAACTAGTGAGGCAGCGGAAGTGCAATGTACCCCCCCGCGTCGCCGAACTGCGCCCTCAATTTGTTGAGAGGCATTGCATGATATGTCTGAAAACATGATATTTGTGTGCCCCCGACAGTTTCTTGATGAGAACTGAGATAATAAGGAGACAGTGAGGAGACGCTTCTAGCAAAAACCTACTTCACACTGTCGCTGAACAATCCCTCTGCGATTATTTTCAAACACAAGGCTGACTGAGTGAGCGTTTTAATTCGAGACGATAGTCTGAAGCAAGAATGCCAAGCTCTGCTACTATTGGCTTCCTCTTCAGTATATCACATTTCAACAAAAACATTTCATACATTCTTTATTTTAATGCGTAAATGAGGATGACACATCGGGGAAAAGGGATCACATCAGCGCTCATCCTTATATACCATTTTCACTTTAAATTCACCTTTTTTCAAAGCAAATTCACAACTTTTCAAAGCATTCACCTTTTTTCAAACCAAATTCACCACTCTTTTTAGACCGGGCAGTTCACCCACCAGATCACGCCAGACACCACTGCGAACCTGCCTCGGGGGTCACGCCCACATTTGTAGGTGAAATAGATTTCACAATGCCAACTCCGCACGGTCTTTAAAGGGTTTGTGGCTAACTTCGAAATTTCATAACTTTTTCACCTTTTCAATTTCACATTCACTTTTTGCGCAGCGAAAATACTCGTAACCGCGCATTCAATCTTCGGCAAAGCCCCTGCCTTGGCCACTCCCACTTGATTTTTACGGAATTTTAATATTTTTTCAAAATTTTTGCATCTTTGAACTGATCTACGAGGCCCCGCCCACTGGAAGAGGCTCTGCCCACTTTTCAAAAACGGTGCAGATCGGCAGTGTAGAGCCTTGGCTTCCATGCTGGGGCCTCGTCTGTCACTCGGAACAAACTTCCTGATTAAATTGTTCCGAGTGGCGGACGAAGGCCCTAGGATGAAAGTCAAGCTCTATCGCACGATCTGGGCACATTTTTGAAAAGTGGCGAGCCTCCCCAGTGGCGGAGCCTCTCTAGTGGCGGGCCATCGTAGAGCGTCCAAAGATCAAAATTTTTTGAAAAACTCATCGAAATTCACGCAACAAGCACGTGGCGTGGCCAAGGTGGCGGAGCCTGAATTGCCGAAGCGTGAACGAGTACGAGTATCTTCGCTGTGCAAAGAGGGATATGAAATTAAAAAGTCGAAAAAGTTATGAAATTTCGAAGTTCGCAACGAACCCTTTAAAGAGTGGGCGGAGTCGGCCATGTGTTGAAAACCTATGTCCGCGTTTGACAAGTGGGCGGACGTGGGGTTCGCAGTGGTGTCTGCGTGATCTAGAGTGACACTGCCGTCTACAAAAGAGTGGTGAATTTGTTTGGAAGTGGTGAATTTTGCTTTGAGAGTGGTGGATTTAAAAGTGAAAAAATGGTATCATTTAAAGCGAGAGGAAATAAAAGTGGGATCAGAACACGAGATGGCAGTATTCGAGCATGATCATCAAGCGGACGTAATTTTCGAGTTCGACACCGTATCAGTAACTGTATAAAATTGGGCGCACACATTAGACTTGGTAATTTCCTCAAATCCAAACTCCTCCTCAATTTTCTTCTTTGCTACCCACTCTTTGGCAAGCTATTTCCCTTCAACTAGATGCGCCAAATACGACCCCCATCCCGCCTTCCGTAATGATGACGAGCCCAGCTCTTGCATGACTCAAGGAATAAGGAGATGGGTCGCTCCAGTCATTTAGCTTTTACTTCTAAAGGCAGTAAGTATAAAAGATGTAGCCTAAGGCTTTTCCGAAAATGATGCCTGACGTTTTCATTTACCTTCTATGGCTTACACCCTCGGCCTTTGGAATACCCAGACATTCGACTTCTGACCCAATCAAAATGACTTTCGTATAGGTCATTGGCCGACGATCACGACTTGCAGAGCGAGTGATGTGTGCGTTATGTATATTACCATCTGCAGGCAAGCAGAAAATGTGAGAACAATAGCTTCTCTGATGACATCCTGTTGAAAGCAAACCAACAACCATAAACAATAATACTGATGAAGGGACGTTCTCACTGCAGGTCACTATTCGGAATGGAGGGTTCCCTAGAAATCTGTTGCCCACATATCCCATCTTCATAGTAGAGATACAAATGTTCAAATGTACCTGTAGAGGAAACATCAAATCCGAGCGCAGAATTGAAATACGTTGGAGCGTAGACGTATAACATTGTAATGCTGACCAGTTCCACAAACGCGTTGAAACCATATTACCAAGACGACTTTATTTGTAATGATCTTCTATAAAAAATACGCTTTATGAAATGCCCTGCAGGCATGAAGAATAAAAAGATAATAAAGAATAAAAAGAATAAAGAAGGATCAGTAAAGGAAATGAAAACATGGTAAGGAATCAGAACCGGGAGGCTGAAGTGAAAAAATGACTGAGAAAGGATCAAAAAATAGTTTCTTTCACGAAAACTGAGCGTATTGCTTTTGGAATTAGTGATTCTCTACAAAATGATTCAAGAGTTATTTTGGCGCATCGTTGTGTCAAACCATGGACGTCAGACATTCGCTCTGGGGATTTGGAAGACAAATTTATTTTGATAGTTGATTTTTTCTTGTGGAAAAGGGAGGTCGTATTAATTTGCCGTGCCTGGACCCCATACCCGACTTTCGACATCCCCATGCTGTACCCTGACTGTGAAGCTTATGAATGGAAAAAGATCTCGGATGAGAGCTAGGGGTGGGGGGTGGGAAGTAAGAAGAGAAGAAGTAAATAAGGAAAACCAAGAGAAAACGTTGTAATTGTCAGAAAAAAGGAGCTAAATGAAGAAAAAACAGAGAAAAGAATGGTTGGAAGGTGCATCGACAATTAAACGTTTTTCCGAGCTTTTAACAGATGGGCCAGGTGGGTGTTTTCTACTGCCGCTACAGTTAATCCTTATTGTATCTGCAGGGCTTCGAAGGGGTTGAGGAGAAAATGAGGAGCGTCTTTTCAGCATTCTGCAGTTACAAATCTCTGCAAAAACTTCGCGAGGAATTCAGAGATTCCTCTATCACTGCAAAACCTGTTAAAGTCCTCTCGTTCGATTCTCTGAATATTTTATCCGGTGCTCTCAGTTTTCATTTGTAAACATCAGATGGCCGCTCACCACGCTCACTCAACAGAAATAAAGTACCAAAAAAGTATTGCAAAGAACAGCATATGAAAACGGAGCACCGAATACCAAGAGCCTTCTTTACGAACTGATACAATGCTCCTCTGGTCAATGTGATAAAACTTTGTAATCTAATCTGCACGATTGCTGGGAGCGGGCGGCTGTGACCAACGTTACTGGTGGAAGGGCTGAGTGGCCTGCAGCCGAGCGCCCTATAAGCTTCAACGGTGACGCTTGAAATAACCGTCGGCCACCATCAACCGCGTCTACTGCCTGAATCTAAAGGCAGTTGGCACGATAAGTTGTTAAGATGAGTAGGAATAATACGCCTGGCAGGACAGAATTGCCGCGCCCCTGAGCAGGCGCTGCGTACCGCCTTTTCCAAGGGAGGTACCCTTACAAGGCCCTATCAAGCTGCAGCATACCGACCCGAACACTCACACGCCCACAAATGGAACAACTGCACCTGATGCTCGTATTGCTTCATTTGCGAAGTAAAATATGAAGCGAAGGGATTGGTATGAAGCGGCTCCGGTGCTGCATGGATATACAGTCCTCATCATTACGGTACTGTCGGGGCGGCACAGCCGCGCTGCACTGTGACGCGACAGCGGCTGCGGCTCGGTGACGGTGAATCAGCTGATTTCCATGGAATTCGGCTGCAAATTCCCACTTTTTCAGCTCTTCAAGCTTCTAAAGTGGAAGGTGAGTTATTCTGAACCAATTTTGAATTGTACTGGCTCTGATTTCCTTTATTTTTATGTCGATTATTATGCTCTTTTCCTTGTATTTTGCCTTATTTCAGGTATTTATTCAAATGGCT